TGAGCTTTGCAACATCTCCAAGCCATTTTCACCTCCATGGCATATGTTGCTCACACACATGTACCTGTGGACTAATCACCTGTGTATCTCACATAAACACAATTAGTCCACCTAGGTTGTCACTCAATTACCAAAACCACACGAGGACCTTTCACTTGGTTATATTATTCATGGAATTGATTGTATAGAAATCAAATTACTTTTTCATATTCTTAGTTTCCAAATTTAGCTATATTCGGCGGTTTACCAAATTTAGCTACATACTAGAATCATGCCTGTGCGTTGCACGGCAGCACAAATTTTTGCCCAAGCTTATTGCGATGGATTTCATTGTTTTTAGAAATTAATAAATCCAGATTGAGCGAGCGGGGTGATGTCATCAGCGCAAGTGGGTCGAGCGGGGCGTGGCGACAATGGCGATAACACTATTTTTTAGTTATATAGATATAGATATGCCCGTGCGTTGCACGAGGCCAAGAATTTTTGTCACGCCTACGGCCAAGTGGCCAACGACACAATTAACACTTAATATGGTTTTTTACAAAAATTGCTAATGGGGTGATGGAGTCAAACACTTCGACGCCAAGTGTTTTTAAAATATGAATTCCTCCAGGTTTTAGTTTAGGAGGAGAAATTTTTGGATATCCTATTCAAAACTTCGGATAATCCGTATCCACTTAATTTTGTCAGCTGCATATCCTATCCCGCATCCGCACACAACCTGATTCAGATTATTCGTATCCTTATGTATATTAAAAGAATTCTCTATGTCTTCAAAATTCGGATTCAGATAGGAGGGGAGCAGAAAAATTTCAGCATCACTTTCACCTCTAAAGTTATCACATACATTCTGGAATTATTTTTTTTGCGAAAACATACTGGACTTAATTAGTGAACGTCATCTTTTTGCGCGTGGTCTGGTGCACGTATCGGATTTCGTTTGGAGCGCGGTTTTCTTTTTCTGATTTGATTTCCTTTTTTACGTTTGGAGCCCGGGTCTGTACGTGGGCGTGGGTCTGTACGTGCGCGTGATGGAGTGACGGAGAGATTAGTGGGCGTCCGACGATGACGTTAAGTATATACAGATATATATAGATTAACTCATACTCGTATGGATTCTTTAGTATTCACTTGTATCCGGTTTGGATTTTTTTTTGTTTAATCCAGGCCATTAGATCACACTCCAACGATGTATATTCCTTTTTTTTATCAATTTGGGTATATACTCTTTGGTTGAAATATAGATCATTAGATCATCATCATCATAAAATCCAACTATGCATACTTTTTTCTTTGTTCTTTTGATTAATCTAGTAATTTCTAGACCCTCTCGACGAATGTGGAAGCTCCTTTCACTACTGGAGGCCGCGGCTTTGCCGAGTGTTTTTACACTCAGCAAAGAGCCCTTTGCACTCGGCAAAGACTTTGCCGAGTGTAGCGCTCGGCAAAGTTCGCTCGGCAAAATTTTTCTCGGCAAAGGGTCTTTGCCGAGTGTTTTTTATCGGGGCACTCGGCAAAATAAAAAACAATTCTGCCGAGTGCTTAGGGCGGCACTCGGCAAAATATTTTCGGCCGTTCCACCGTTCATGGTTATTTTGCCGAGGGCCTGACCCAGCACTCGGCAAAAAAAAATTATTTTTTTTAAAGATTACTTTGCCGAGTGCCCAAGTCCAGGCACTCGGCAAAGTTTTTTAATTATTTTTTTAAAAATTACTTTGCCGAGTGCCCCTGTCCAGGCACTTGGCAATTTTTTAAAAAAAAAAATTACTTTGCCGAGTGCCCCAGCCCAGGCACTCGGCAAAGAATTTCTGGATTTTAAAAAAAAATACTTTGCCGAGTGCCGCTGTCCAGGCACTCGGCAACGCTTTTTTATTTTTTATTTTTAAAATACTTTGCCGAGTGCCCCTGCCCAAACACTCGGCAAAGTTTTTTTTAAAAAAAATACTTTGCCGAAAAGGCGCTTGACCCGTGCACTCGCAAAGAATTTCTGGATTTTTTGGAAAAAACTTTGCCGAGTGCCTTGTCCATGGCTTTTCGGCAAAGACCCCAGAATTGTAATTTTTTACATTCCATTGTAATAACATATATATATATATATATATATATATATATATACATCAATCATCACATCTATCACCAACATGCATTATATATCACAAGCACACGCATATTTAATAAATCCATCGAGAATCCATCACAAATGCACCAAAGTTCAACATCACAAGTTTATTATTACAAGTTCGACATCACAAAGTTCAATATCTCTACTGCGGCGACGAAAACTGCTGGTGTGGCCCCCTAGACAGCGGTGAAGGACCGGACTGCGGCGAAGGGTTGACGTGATCAGCCGCCGGTGACACGCTAGCGGGATTGTTTGAACCCGCCGATGGAGGCTGCACAAAAGAGAAGAGATTGCATGTGTTAGACTAAAAATTGAAAATTTCGACAGCACCTCCGCTGCACGGGGAGGTTTCCAACCTGCAAGAAACAACGGCACGAAGGCCGACAATCACAACGGCACGAAGGCCGATAAGAACAGCGGCACGAAGGCCGACATCACAACGGCACGAAGGCCGACAAACGGAGATAGGGTGGATATACCTTGCCCACGCTCGTAGGCGGTTCGGTGACGGTAGGGGCGTCGGCGGGACGGGCACACGGAGAAGACGGCCGAGGCACCTCCTCCTCCCCTCTACCTCGGCTTCCTCCCCCTCTCCCCTTCTCCTCCTCCTTCCTCTCCTCCTCCTTCTTCCTTTTTCTTCTCTTTTTTCCTTCTCCTTTTCTTCCTTTTCCTTTTCTTTCTTTCTCTTCTTTTTTCTTCCTTCTTCTTCCTTCTTCTTCTTACTGCTGCTTCCTCCTCCTTCTTCCAAGCCGGCGGCAAGAGCAGGGGCGCACTATGCCGGCGCGTGCATGGGAGGACAGCCCTTGTGTGCCGGGTGTGGCAAGACCTGTGGCGACGGGGTGGCGTGGGCCTTGGCTGTGTGGTGTGCTGGGGCCGGCTGGGGGTACTCGGGGGGGGGGGGGCGCCATGTGGTCGGGCTCGCCGGCGTGGACGCTGGGGAGCTGCTGGCTGGGGGCTGGGGTGCTTTCGGCGGGGGGGCATGGTGGCGGGTCTGACGGCATGTGCCGATGCATGAGGCTGTGCGGGGCTGGGTGTTTGGGGCGGGTCTCGCTGGTGATGGTGTGCCGGGAGAGACTGTGGCGGGCTGGGGTGCTCGGGGGGGCTCTCATGGCGTGTGGGAGCGGTGGCTGGTGTGTGGGGAGGGAGGAGGTGGCGTGGCAGCGGGGAGCGCGTGGCGGGCTGGGCTGCTTGGGGGGGGTGTGTGGTGGGGCTCACTGGGATGGCGTGGCCGTGCGGTGCGCAATGTGTGGCGCTGGCCTCAGGGGAGGGGCCTTGTGAGGTCAGGAGAGAGCAAAAGTGACTAGGGTACAGGGGTGGGGTGGGGATTTTGGGTCGTGGTTTTATTTTAAAAATTTTTGAGTGTAAGCCCCTTGAGCACTCGGCAAATTTTTTTTTAATTTTTAAAACTTATTTTGCCGAGTGCAGCGTCGGGCACTCGGCAAAATTTTTTATTTTATTTTGAAAATCATCTTTGCGAGTGCCGGGCCAAGGCGGCACAGCAAAGTCCACTTTGCCGAAAGTGCCCCCCCATGGCGCTTTCGGCAAATTTTTTTTGATTTTGGGTCCAAATTTTTTTACGTGGCCTTGTGTGACGGTGTTTAAAACTCTATTTTAAAATTTGAGGCAATTTTGACTTTTTTTGATATATTTCATTAGTTTATTTAAATTTTAAATCTAATTGTTTGAGATATTTCAAATTTGAGCTCAGGAGATTTTCGGAAAATCATGGAATGAATGGACTTTGGTCATTTTATATAATTGAAACTCATGATATTTAGGGTATGTTTGTTACGTATCGAGAAAGATACATGAGATTTCATGTCACTTGGCGATACATGTAAACATACCCTAAATATCATGAGTATCAATTTTGAATGACCAAAGTCCATTATTCCATGAAACTTGTCGATGCGTCAAATTTGAAATATCCCAAACAATTAGACTTAAACGAAATAAACTAATGAAATATATCAAAAAAAAGTCAAAATTGCCCCAAATTTTAAAATAGAGTTTTAAACACTGTCACAAGGCCACAGAAAAAAATTTGGGCCCAAAATAAAAAAAAACATTTTGCCGAGTGCCATGGGGGACACTCGGCAAAGTGGGCTTTGCCGAGTGCCGGCCCAGAAGGCACTCGGCAAAGATGATTTTCAAAAAAAAAAATTGCCGAAAAATAAAAAAAAAATTGCCGAGTGCCTAACGCTGGCACTCGGCAAAATAAGTTTTAAAAAAATAAAAAAAAATTGCCGAGTGCCCAAGGTTTACACTCGGCAAAATAAGTTTTTAAAAATAATAAAAAAATTTTGCCGAGTGCCATCCGTTAGGCACTCGGCAAAGTCTGACGGCAGATGCCCGCCGTCACGGGCCGGCCACCTTTTGCCGAGTGGGACTTTTGCCGAGTGCCGCGGCACTCGGCAAAGCCTAGATTTGCCGAGAGCCAGGCTTTGCCGAGTGTATGGCGCTCGGCAAAGCCACGTTTGCCGAGTGCTTTGTTTTGCCGAGTGCGGCACTCGGCAAAATATTTCTTTGCCGAGTGCCCCGATAAAAAGCACTCAGCAAAGTCTCAGGCACTCGGCAAAGTACAGTTTTCCAGTAGTGTTTTAACATAATATAACAGATAATATCACAAATCATACAATTTTTTTTTGTTTTCTTAAATGACAGTCTTACACAGATATAAGTCTTGCATAATTGGCCATAGGCGGCCCTTACATTACATAAATTGAAAATGTCGTGGAAATATTTCTGAAAAAGTACATAGGGTAGTATAGAATTGGCCACTTGTCTCCAAACTTTTATTATTACCACACCTCAGAAAGTGAGCATGCTCCGTAAACCATCTTGCCCCATTAAGTACCTGACTCCTCCTGGCTAGAGGCTAGAGCTTTGCATAAAGCAGCCGTTCTAGCTCCATCATATTTGCAGCCTCCAAGCAAACGAGCACGCGGACGCCACCGTCGTCTGCTGTCCCCTTCCCCTCGTTGTTCATGATGAACACAACCCCGCCACGGATGGACTCCGCCCGCGACATCACCTGCGGCTTCCCCCACCCGAAATCCGCATCGTACGCTGGCATGCCGAGCCAGCTGACAATCTGCAGGTGCGTCTGCGGCAAGGTGCCCCTCAAAGGTCGGGTGGTGTCAATCTCGGCCTTCTCAAAGTAGTCGATCGCGGACCGCACCAGCTCGTCGTCCATCCGATCAACGGCGCCCTTGATGCGGCTCGCGACGGATCCCAGCGCCTCCGTCGCGATATCCCTCACCGCGCCGGTCACGCCGAGCTTGAACAGCGCGTTGCCGAAGTAGAGGTCCGGGAGGGGCGGCCTCACCTTGCGCCGGACGTTGGCCGGGAAGGTGAGGCGTGCTTTGGAGTCTAGCGGAAGCCGGCGTGCGATGCACGCGCACTGCCACAAGAGAGCGCTCACGGCACAGAAGGTGCTCGTCCCGCTGCAGTGGTGCTTGAGGGAGGCGACCTGGTCCCTGGAAATGGTGAAGACTTTGACGACAACAGGTCCCAACGGGTCGGAGAAGATGACCTTAGGGCAGAAGGTCAGGAGGGCGTCAGGGTGGACGGTGGGTGGGGATCGTGGGCAGAGGAGGGTGCGGTCGTGGCACGGGAGTTCCACGACAGCGCCATTGCCATGCTTGGCGAAGGCTGACCATGTTTGGATGAAGTGGAACGCGCTTAAGGCGTCCATGGAGACATGGTGGATAGCTGTCCCTAAGGCCACTCCTCCACACTTCAAGAAAGTCACCTGCAATGCAAGCACATATACATGATGCCATATGTATACAGTAGGAGAATAGGTTAGAACACGTGTGCATTGTCAAGCAGAATACGCACTTCTTAAGCATATGCAAATTGATATATACAAAGTGATGCCCTAAACTTATGAGAAACCATGGAAGCAGAGAATGAAGTAGTGAACCTGTACGGCCAACACGACGGATGCTGGCTCAACGCATGGAACAACTAGCCTCCTCAGCTCCGGCGATGGCTTCAACTCCTTGATGTCATCGACAGTGAGATTAGCGCGAGCGACAACAAAGAGTGCGCCCTCGCCGTTCCAGTTGATCTCCATCCTGCCGTCGTTGTCGATGGCGGCCAGCAAGGGGGTAGAAAGCCACCAAGGCCTTGGCCATGGATTCCTTGAGCCTGGCCACGTTGAAAAAATCAGCCGTGGCAACATCGTTGGAGCTGTATAAGTAGAATGTTGGGACGTGGCCTCTGGTGTGGCCTGCTCCAGGTCCAGGGAAGAGAGCCAGAGCCCCTTCATCGGTGTCGGCTCGCTCGGTGCCACAAATGACGACTCTAGAACTTGCACCGCGGAATCCATTGGTTTCAATTTCTTCTTACGCACCGACTGATTACTTGATTTTTTGGGGGTTGACTGATTACTTGATCCGGACCAATCAGCACCAGGATGTTATTATTAGCTGCAGCGCTGCAAGGGACACAAAGTGCATGCTCTAGATCACAAACGAACACTGCCATCTCCTGAATATATATAGTAGAATTTCCTAAGCATGGAACTTGTTATATTTTAACACATTTTTAATTAATATATTAAAAATAGCATACCAAAAACTTATCTAACCCTTTTATCCACGCCAGTTTCTCCTGAAACGATAGTTGATAAGACCACGTTGCTATGCCATAGCATTGGCACAGCAGCCACACTGGTGGGGCACCACCAAAGTTGGCTCCCCCCTACCATTCTCTTTGGCATGACGAGATAGTTCTACGTTGAAGTTCGTTAGCAACTCAAAACGAACTTGGTCTTGTGCTTGTCATAAGAACGAAACATTTACACTTTATAGCACGTATGTTGAGTTTTATAGAACTTCGATTCCAATATATAACTAATTTATTGAGTGGTAAGGAAAGCTCAACCATATCAGTTGACCCGATTCAACATTGACTTCGTGTTCATCCACACTACTTTGTTCTTCAGTAGTTTTTTCAACAAACGAACAATGTTTTTTAGCATATGCAGCAGCGTAAGCCAAATTTCAGCGAAACTCAATGAATAACCAACTGATGGCACAATTGTGGTGTGTGTGTGTGTGTGGGGTGGGGGGGGGGAACCCGGTTGACACGACACGTCCCCACGGGAGTAAGCGCTCCCTTGCGGGAAGGAACACCCAGGTACCGCAGGGAACTCGAGTGGTCTTTGCTTCCCCCGAAGTGTCAAAAGTTGATTGTACAGAGTTGTCACCTCAGCGTAATATCTTAGTACCCGAGAGTGCCCCCCATGCCTGGCACAAGACAGTGCACACTATCCCCTGTGTATCCCCATACGAGAAACAGTAAGACAGGGATAGGTCACACCTGCCCTACCGCTATCAAAGCCCACATCTGATATGAGGGCCATGTGTTGGTTTGATCTCCCAACCACAGTGGCCCAACGGCCACTTGGGCCTTGACCTCGCGCCCTGATCGGAGGCACCCAGTCCATCTATGGCTGGCGGCCCCCCGCCACACTGCGCAATAAATAGAGGTGGGGGCCGGCGGCTCTCAGTACGAGGTTGGCCTGAGCCGTACGCCCCACCGGCAAACCCTACTCCGATCTAACAGAGGGGCGCAGCCAGTGACGGGAAGAACCGCCGCCGCCACGGCACTGCGCCAACACCACTTCACTGCACCACTCCTTCATCGCCCGTCGCTGCCCTACCGCAGATCTTCACCGACGAACCTGTGATGGCCGGATCCGCCTCCTCAATGCCCACCGATGGTCTGTGCCTAACCCTAACTCTCCCTCTCCCTCTCTGTCCCTCTCCGTACACACCATTTCTACGAGAAACCCAATGAAAGCCCACTGATCCACGGATGGTCCTAAGATATTAACAATGGTATCAGAGCCATGGTTGCTAGCGTGTGATCTAGATCGGGGCAAAGAAAAGAAGAAAGAAAAGAAATAGAAACGAACTTCGGTTTGGAGAAAATGAAACCCTAACCCTAAAGAAATTTGATGGTCCGGGGAAGTCTTACCAGGGCTTCCCCGCCGCCATCACTACCGCCTCACGCTGGATGGAGCACCCACCGCCGGCTTGCTGACGCGCGGGAAGAGAATCAAAAGAACAGAAAACAAAAGAACGGATTAGATCCTTTCGGATCTGAGCACACAGACTAGGGTTTTCCCTAACCCTAACCCTAACTGGGTGAAGATGGAAGGGACTCGGTTTCAAGACCGCTTGATCCAAACCCTAAACCCGCGACTCGAACTCGGGGAAGAAGAATAGGCCCAAAACCCTAACCCTAGATCTCCAACCCTATTCCCAATCGGTCAAAACCGAGAAGAAAAAGCAAGATCCGAAGAAAAAGAAAGGGAAAAGGGGATGAGGAAGAGTCAGTGGGCTTACCTTACTGGCCATTGGCAGAAGACTATTGCCTCACCGTGTAAAAGGGAGAAGAAGGTCGAGCGCGGGAGAAGCCTCTCTCACGGACTCAGCCAAAGGGCGCCAGCAGCCAAAGCCACTCGGCAGTGGGGCGCTCACCACCCTCAGGGAGAGCGCGATGCCGACGACGAGGGGGCGACGAGGCCCTGCTCGCTCTCGTTGTCGCCTGCTCTTCGTCGGGCTCGCGTGGCTGAGAGAGCAGAAGGGAGAAGGGAAGTGGGAGCTAGGGTTTCGGCCGTCACGTTTTGATCAGTCGGAATGGCCGCTCAGCCGTCGGATCGGCGCGATGAAGCAATGAGGTCTTGTGATCATGGTGCTTTACCTGCCCAGCCCATGTTGCGGCTGTGGTGGTGGCGTGTGCTGGAGTGGTGATCCGGGCTCCGAGTTGAGTTGGGCCGAGCCGGCTTTTGCCGGTTTTTGGGCCCAGAGAGGCAGAATGAGCCTGCAATTTCCTTTTCTTTTTTACAGAATATTGAAAAAAGGAAATTGGCTCAAAAGAAAATAGAAAAAGTATTTATTTTTTCCCTGTGGATAAAATTCAAGAAAATGAGTTCTTTTTCCCGCTGCGAAGTTAAAGTTTATTATCTTCTCATTAAATTCGAACCAACAAAAGAATTTAATTTGAAGAGCAGTTGTAATTATTCAGTAAATGATGAAAAGTCAATCCTCCAATTAAAATTGGAACCAACAGGAAAATTTTAATTGGAGGAATAGTCGGTTGATAGATAAAGTTAAATTATGGTATTGTTATTTTCTGACCAATGTTGATGATAACAATATTATAATTCTATGAGTTCTATATTTAAAGTTTAAATCTCTGATGAATTTTGCATCAAAGTGACCAATTTTTCAGAGAAAAGATAAAGATCAAGGCATGCTCTTAAACTAGAGAAATGTATTTTCATGTTTCCGCTGTAATGAAGTTGATTGTCTTCTAATTAAATTCGAACCAACGGAAGAATTTAATTCTGAGGAGCAGTTCTATGTTTTCAAGATTATTAAGGTTGTATACATTAATTCTATTTCTGCCCAACGGTGATGTGGAATTAATGTAGAAGAATGATGTTTTATTCTATTTCTGCCCAACGGTGATATAGAATAGAACATAAAGATTTCAAAGTTTAATGAGCATTATTGTTGAATATTTTTTTAGATAAAAGACCTCCATGCTTTCATTCTTGAATGCAGTAAGAGAAATGAGCTGGGTACTTGTGACTCAGATGATGAAATGCCTAAGGGCAAGTTATGTATGAAAGAATGCCATTGTTTAAGGGACTGTGTTCTCTTTAAAGAATGGCTTCAAAAGAAAAGAATTCTAGGATATTGATCCAAAAAAAGAGATAGATCAATGAGAGTATTCATTGAGAAATGTCATTTATGTACTTTCTATGAAGAAGAATTTATTTTCAGTTTCACTTATGAGAGTTGTAAAAGTCATATACATGTTTAATTTGACAAACATTAGATTAAACATGTGTGTTAAAAGAATATTCGGATTTATTTCTGAATTTGATGATTGAACACGAGCCAATCCTGACATTTATGTCCGTTTAAGGGAATTATCTCGCATGATGGTAAAAGTTTGTGATAGTACCCGCATGGAGGGAAAAGTTTGAGAAAATACACGCATGGCGGGGTAAAGTTGGCATAGTACTTATGTTAACGAATCCTTCATGACGGGAGAGTTTTGGCATAGTACTTATCCCGTATGACGGGAGAAGGATGTGATGACTCATGTGCTCTAAGTGTATCCCGCACATGGAGAGAAGTTTGGGGTAGCTCTTATGCTATCCTAGTATTAACCGTATACTCTGATTGTGTCATGGTCATTAAGTACTCAATGAATTTAAGAACAAAAGAAAGTTGCATGTGAACCAAAAGATAAGAATGATATGCAAGCGTGACTTGCAGAAGTATTGATAATAATAGACTATGTTGAGTTTTGAAGTGAAATGAGGAAAATGTACTCCCATACAAATTAAGAAATAACTTTGTTTGCATGATGTAATCATGTGGATGAAGTAAGTAATTAAAGTTTCATTATTCACAAGAGTTCTGAATGTTTTTTTTGAAATTGTGCTAGAAAAGTTCATACCATATTTCGAGGGGAAGAAATGTAAGATTTATTAAGAAAGACAATTAAGAAAGATACTTCCCCATACTTCAGATAATGCAATGCATACTATGCATTGAAGGTAAAAGTGATCTATAAAAGATGAATGTGATCGTTGAGGGAGTAAGACGGTCATAATAACGATACCCCTAAAGTAAAGAAATAGCTAAATTCCTAGACCTTTTACAGTTCCGATAGGAAGATAGCATAGTCGGCTAGTATTCATACTGGACGAGTTCAGAGTTATCAAGGCGGTGCTAAACGCGCCATATGAGTTTTTAGTAGATTAAACCCAAAATAAGAAATTTGAAGATACAACATCTTTACAGAAGATGGAGTAATCTGGGAGAGCATGGTATGTAGATATCTAAAGCTTGAATAGAAGTGGGATTACATATCCACTACAGTGTTTTTAAAGCAACAAATTGCTTAATACATGTTAATGTTGTATGACATATACAACACCTGATGTTAGCTCTTAAAGAAGATGAATAAGTAAACAAGGATCTTGTGATACAGGAGGCTATAGAACAATTGCCTTTTGGCAATGAAGAGTAACAATAGCCCCATATGAAAGAAGTGCCACGAAGCCCTAGAAAGTCTCAAAGAATAAGAAACTCAGATATTTCTGGTGACTAAGGAGTCAATGTTAAGAAAGAAATTCAAATGGAGGGTAGTTCCACCTCATTTGAAAAAGCCATGAGAGGCGTTCACTCGTCTAAATGGCAAGAAGCAAAGGAAGATGAAATGAAATCGATAAATACC